TGGCGCAATATGGTTCATGGGGTCACGAAGAGTCGGACACGGCTTAACGACTGAACAACAACAACACGGTAAGAACAGAGTTAGGGCAGATGCTCTGTCATCTCACTTTTCCAGGAGTAAAACAAGTTTAATCAGGACAGACGCTGAAGGGAGAACTTGGGCACTACTAAAATAAGCAAAGAGGCAATTAATTCAATGGTAGAACAAGGTTAATGATGGGATGGGTGCATCCTCAAGACTGAATAGCCCATTATTTCTTTTGCTCCCGAAGTTAAGATGTGCCCATTCATTCATGAGTAAAAATTGTTCAAGCGCTCTGCCCCCGCCACACACTTAATCTAGCTAGCTACTAACCCAGTTAGACCTCGTTGATGGTTCTAGTAGTCCAAAGTCACACAAATTAGAAATGGTATTGAAAGTAGTTAGGCCAGTATGATAATGCTTTCATATACATCAATGGTACAAGCACATCTGGAATATATGCAGTTCTGGTCACCGCAACTCTCAAAGGCTTATGGCAGAGCTAGAGAAGGTTCAGAGGAGGACCACTAAGATGGTCAAGGGAGTGAAGCAGCTCCCTGTGAGGAAAGGTGGTGACATGGAGCTTTCTGGTCTAGAAAGGAGGTAAATGACAGGGGACATGATTGAGGTGTACAAAATTATGCATGGTATGGATGAAGTGAACAAGGACAAGCTGTTTTTCCCTTGCCAAAATATTAGAACCAGAGGTCACCCCATAAAATCAAATCCTGGAGGAATCAGGATAGACAAAAGGACATTTTTTTTATATAACATGAATTCAACTTTGGGATTTGCTACCACGAGATGTGCTGGCTACCAGCTTGGTTGGCTTCAAAACGGGTGGGAATCTATTTCTGGAAGTCCTGGGGATCCATGATACTTAGCCTTGATAGCTGCGGGGCTGCCTCTGAAGGCCATCTGTTGGGAAACTGGTGGGCTTCCTTGGGTAGTTGGTGGGCCAGTTAGAGCAGCATTTCTCAGCTGTGGCAACTTTAAGATGGGTGGACTTCAACTCCGAGAACAAAGTCCACCCTTAAAGCTGCCAAGGTTGAGAAACACTGACTTAGAGAACAGACAGCTGGACTAGGTGAGCCAGGGGTCTGATCCAATAGGGCACAGCTCACCTTATGCTCTAAACTGCATGAAAAAAAATGCATCAGTTTTGGAGTTACTAGACCAGTGTTCCTCAACCTTGGCGGCTTGAAGGTGTGTGGACTTCAATTCCCAGAATTCCTCAGCCAGCCATGCTGGCTGGGGAATTCTGGGAGTTAAAGTCCGCACATCCTCAAGCTGCCATGGTTGAGAAACACTGACTTAGAGAACAGACAGCTGCCCTAGGTGAGCCAGGGGTCTGATCCAATAGGGCACAGCTCACCTTCTGCTCTAAACTGCATGAAAAAAAATGCATCAGTTTTGGAGTTACTAGACCAGTGTTCCTCAACCTTGGCGGCTTGAAGGTGTGTGGACTTCAATTCCCAGAATTCCTCAGCCAGCCATGCTGGCTGGGGAATTCTGGGAGTTGAAGTCCGCACATCCTCAAGCTGCCATGGTTGAGAAACACTGTACTAGACCCTTGGCCACTTTCTCAGGAAATATTTAATCTGTCTGCAGTATCTGCAGATGTGGGTGGGGGTGTCAAGGGAGAGCAAATGACAAAAGCAGCATGGCACCATCACAATACACGTTCTCCCCCATTTGTATATGTGTTGTGACATCACACCCACATACAAAAGCAAAGCTTACCTTGCAATGGCATGTTACTGCTTTCCTTTTTTTTGACAAAATCCGCTGATCTTGTGGGTGCCTCTGCTAACATCTCAGGAGTCCTTGTTCCTGGAAATGTAGGCAAAGCTATATGACTAAGGCTTTAAACATGAGGCTGTGGCTACCATCTTGACTTTTTAGATTCCCCCGGCCCCCGGATGCCCCAGATAAGGGTTATGTTTTAACTTGGGGCAGAGGGACAAGATGACTTTGGAGAACATTGATATCAGTCTTTCAAGACAGGCCAGGTCAAGAAACAGACTCTACAAGACGTCCTGGAACTCTGCTCTAGTGATATAAGCCAGTGTTTCTCAACCTTGGTGGCTTTAAGATGTGTGGACTTCAATTTCCAGAATTCCCCAGCCAGTGTACTGAACTAGGCTATAATAACAGATTCTTGAAAGCCTGACGTTTCCCCATCCATCCCTCTTCTACCAGAGAGTCAAAGTGGGGCAATCTGGATTCTTTCTCACATTTTGTTTTCCCGGGCTGAGCTCATGTTTTGCTCTGCATACCTTCCCAAGGTCATCTCTATGCTCCACTACACTTGTTTATACCGTTACCATGGACGTTTCAGGTGGACTTCTGGTAGACTGCCGAGAGTCCCCAGCACACTGGGCGGTATGCCAATGCAATCCATCAAGAGAAATCTGCCATTCAGCAGTATACAGATATAATGATGGATGGATGGATGGATGGATGGATGGATGGATGGATGGATGGATGGATGGATGGATGCTGTTCCCAAAAGTACATGCCACGTATCAGCAAGTATCAAACTTGATTTGAAGTAGACTTTATCATTATATGGTGGTAGTGAGGTTGTGATGTCCTTTCCCTTCTCAATATTAAGACCTGCCAGTAAATTTCAAGATTCACCAGCTTATTAACACCTTAAGATAAGCACTATGGTCTCCTGTTACACACTCCTTGGTGGCTAAGATGTCTAGAGTAGGATCGGCATTAAAAATGGGCGTGCAGCTTCTTAGCCTTCTCTCTGTGTCAGGTTTTACACTTACATTTGTTCACAAGTCCCATGTGTTGTTCTTACAGCTGTAGCCAGGAATGTCTGCAAGGTGTGGTTAAAAAATCAAAATGGCAGCCACAGTGGTGTGATTGAAGCTCTGCTGGTTTTTTTGTAGAATCATAGAATTGAAAAGGACTTAAGAGGCCATCAAAGGTTCACTATACCGTCCCCGATAGTTGACAATCCAGACTCTGTTTGAAAACCTCCAGTGAAGGGAAAGAATCCACTCTGTGCGGTAACCTATTCCTGCAATTGACTATTTTTAGGTCAAGAAGTTCTTCCTAATGTCTCATCTGTATGAACATCCTTGAAGCAAAAATGGGCAGAGCTTCAGTTGCACTGTTGCAGCCACCACCTTGATTTTTTGACTATATCCCACAGACACCGCCAGCTTAACCCCATAACCATATTAGATGTAGGAACGGAAGAGTAGTTAAGAGTTGACCTAATTCAGCAAAAAGGGAAGAGAAATTATATGCGCTTGTATTCAGAGACAAACTATTGATGTCTCTGCTGATAGCACGGAGCGGTTAGGGGCTCTCGGTAGCCTTCTCCTCCACAAATTTATTTCAGGTCTTATTAAAGCTCTCCAAATGGGTAGAACAGCCTCCATAATTGCACAACGGATAACTTTCTCTCAGCTGAAGTGCTTTAAGCGTCCTCGGATGATCCCACCAGGCCCCAGTGATTTGTGAGGAGATAAAACTCTCCCAGTTTCTTTCTGCACATTGTGCATTATTGTATACATCTCTATCACACCCTACCCAGCTAGCTATTTCATGAAGAATATACTGTTCAGGGCTGTAAGATATTTTGGGTTGTCTATGCCCTGAACACACTGATAGTAAGCTGGCTTGAGCAACTCACCAGCAATATCAGCAAAATTGGAGTTAATTGATAGAGTTAGAGTCAGACTGGAGTCATAGACTATTGAGCTTCCACCCCTCAACAGAACATGCCAACAAGCTCTGTGGTTAAGTCTGCAAAAGAGTTGAAACAGGAAGATATTGATCAGGTGTGAAGTCAGTTAGCAGAAGAAGAGGAGCAGAGATGTAGAGGTGTATTCAGATAAAGCCTAAAATAAAGATGTTCTAAAACCACTAAGTGTCCCAGATACAGAAGACCACCAGTTGGCATGGACACAGACACATATGGTTTGAAAAGGTGTTATGATTATGGGATGTTAGCTATTAAGTAGCTCAACTATGTGACCAATCATGTAACT